TTGCTTTATAGCTTACAAAGAATTTTCATTAGCATTTTCTCTTTTGATCTTCACCTGAATCCTATAAAGTTGGTATAATTACAACCCTTTACTTTTGTTGCTAAAGGAAAACAAAGTTTTAAGTAAAATACTTATCCATGATTGCTTTGATAAAGTTACAGTAACAGAACTGGAACCTAGATCTTGTGTCTCTAAGCCAGTGCCTTTTGCACAGCATTCTTAGATGCAAAAGAACTGTGTAAATTCCAAATACATTGTCCAATCACTGAAATGTCTGGGGGTTCTTTTGTCCTTCCCTACCATATTTCTTACGATCCATTCCCCCCACTATACACACACAACCAATGCATTTAAGGCCAAACTATTCCATATGTACCCATTTACTCAGAACTAAAGGTTTATATAATGAATACAGTATAAGATAATACAGTATTAACTATGTAAATCTGCTATACATCCAATTTTCTACAGCTATTTTAAGATGAGTTTTAAATAATCCTGTCTCGTATTAGGAATATTTACAACCTCTCTCAAGCCGAAAAGCATTCCCTTTTTTTTTTCCCAGAAATCATATCCTAAAGCCTTAAACTTAAAAAAAAAAGTATTATGAATATTTTTCCTCCACTCTTTCTCAATCCCCATATTTCTTTCTTCCCCCACTCTTCTTTTACTTTATATCTTTAGATCTCCCTTTAACTCTTCTATAATAATGAACTGGAACACTTTTTTACTGTACTTAGAAATATGATTACTCAAGAGTTTGGTATTTTTTATTCTTAATTTTTAAAGTGGGTAAAAAGAATGATGTATATATTCTTTCCAAGATATAACAAAAACTTCTATTTTTTTTAAAAGGTGATTAGAATACTTTGTACCATGAACTGTTTCCTTTAATATTTTTAAATGTATACATAAAAATTTTAAAGATATAGAATTAGAAAGGAATCCAACTATAATAAAATACAGCTCAATATCATATAAAACCAGTTACATTGAAACACTGAATTACTGCAAGTACATGGATGTAAACTCCACTTAAGAACCTCAATTTTAAAAACTTTCAAAAAACAAAAGTTGAAATAATAATGCTGAATAGCTAATGCTCTAACATCACAGCTTGCTCTATGACAATAAGCCTACAAAGTAAGTACCATTGTCATCATGATATGTAGATAAGAGGCTTAAAGAAGCTAGGTGAGGTACCCAAGGTTACACAGCTTCCAACAGCAGAGCCGAGTCGTGAGCCTTTCTTCAAGGCCCAGATTCCTAACCATGTATGTATCCCTTCTCATTACCACCAGCGCCATTCATAATTCAGGACTTTTCTTAACTCATTACTAGCCACTATAATGGTTTCTCTGAGTCTTTTTCTACCCATTCCAACCTTCACTGACACTCCACTGCCCATGTGATTGAGTCTAGGTTCTTGAATCAGGAATTCAAGACCCTAATCAAGCCACCCTTCTCTTAACGAAAGAATCATAGAAAATATAAGGCCTACATTTAGCTATTACACCAGCTCTTCTCCTACCACTTCCATCCCTCACTAATGCCATTAGGTCTGACTGAAATGCCGTCTGCTGTCGACCATTGCCACCTATATAAATTCCACCCATCTTTCCAGGTAAAGGTCAAATAATACAATCTCAGCAAAGCCTTCCATCTCCAGCCAGAAGTGATCTTTTCTCTGTCTGCATACTTATAGTTCCCTACTTATAGCAAGACAATAATTAAACATGTCCATAGTATGTAATTATTCCTGCCACAGAATCTTTTTCAATTTCTCAAATATGTTATGCTCATCTCACCATTATACCTATGCTGGAGTCACCACCTAGAACATTCTTTTCACTCCTTTTCCTTTGGCTAACTCTTACTTGTCCTTCAAGTCTCAGTTCAGAGGAAACTTCCTCTAGAAAGCCTTCCTTCACTGCCTCCACCTTAACCCTGGGCCAAGAGCCCACCTTGGACACCAACTCCTCACAGCCCAGACATAGCTAACTGGCTGTTTACTTGTCTGTCTCCCTTCTAGGCTCTAAATCTCATCATAGACTCCATTTACTTTGTTCATGGCTGTATTTCAACACCGACCATAGCGCCTGGTGTGTAGCTGGAATATTTTTTAATGAATTTACAATTAACTTCTCCTTATTACACTGTCTGATTAATCCAGAGACAAATTTCAAAGTACAGGACTTTGCAATTGGTGATTCTAATTAAATAATTGTTGGATGAAATAATTTTTGCAGTAAATAGCCTAGATTAATTATCTTAAGTCCTCAGACAATATGGATTGAACTGCAAAACGGTATAAATAAGAATACTTGATATGTCTTTAGAGTAAACAAGGATAATCATTTCAAATTCATTTGAATGTGTTAAAACTTATAACTGAATCAAACCTAGGTTTGCTTGAATTATTGCAAATCACTTTCTCATTGCTATTTGCAGCTACCTACATTCCTCAATTATTATTTATTGGTACTATAAACCTCTACACACTCCAAAGTACCTAGGCTCTTTACTATCTGTGTCCATTCTCAGTACTGTTTTAATGTACCAATTACCACTCATAAGCTAACCCGTTTTTGCCATTTTAAAGCCTTCACTCTCCCGCCATCGAGCTTTTTCCTTCTTCCTACAATCTATAAAATTATCTCTTTTTTTAATTTAACGTTTTTTTAAATAAATTTATGTACTTATTTTCAGATGCATTGGGTCTTTGTTGCTGCACGCGGGCTTTCTCTAGTTGCGGCGAGTGGGGGCTACTCTTCCTTGCAGTGCGCAGCCTTCTCATTGCGGTTGTGGAGCACGGGCTCTAGGCACGTGGGCTTCAGTATTTGCAGCACGCGGGCTCAGTCGTTTTGGCTCGCGGGCTCTAGAACGCAGGCTCAGTAGTTGTGGCGCACGGACTTAGTTGCTCTGTGGCATGCGGGATCTTCCCAGACTAGGACTCGAACCTGTGTCCCCTGCATTGGCAGGCCGATTCTTAACCACTGTGCCACCAGGGAAGTCCCTCTTTCTTTTTAAATAATCAGAGTTCACTTCTTCCAAGAAGTCTGTCTTCACTAAAAGCCTAGTTCAGGCTTAGCCTTAATTCACCTATTCATTCATCTATGAGCTCATTCATTCATGAGTACCTGTTTCATGGCAAACACTGTTCATAAAGTAGATTTTAAATGTTCATCAGCTAAATGGATTCATGTAACCACAAATACTCCCATCTCCCAAACAATCCAAGTACAAGTATTGTACAGATATATATAAAGGGTTATATGAATTTCAGGGAGGTGCTAAATATCTGATAAAGACCTGAGAAGCCTCTTAGGATCATTCATAATTATTAATAAGACACCAGAAACAAGGTTGAAGAACTAAAGTAAAAACTCAGAAAAATATTTGGATTATATGAAAACCAAAGAATTTATCACCTCTTTAAAAAAATAGAAAAAAGAACATTCCAGTAGTACAAGGTCCACAGGATAAACAGGCAATTCACAGAATACATGTAATATATTCTATTTCACTAATTAAAGAATTACAAATTAAAGTAATGATATTCCTTTTTATCTGTTTTGTACCTGTGAAAAAAAGTTCTCACCACCAAGGGCACACCTTGCTGTAAGAATATTAACTAGGATAGCTTTTCTAAAGAACAATCTGGCAAGTAAAAATAAGTAATATGCACATGTTTTGACCCAGAGATTCTACTTCTATAACTATATCCCTAAGAAAAACAAAAGGAGATGTATGTATAAGATGTATGTATACCCTTAGATGTAGATGGCGGTAAAAGAGCTTCATGGCAGAATTATTTATAGTAGTAAAAAGAAAAAAAAAAAACCCACAAATCCACTGATAAGGGATACATTAAATGTATCTAGTCATTTGGGATACTATGTAGCAGTTAAAAGAGACAAGGTAAAATTTTATATGTACATTATTACAAGAAAGAAAAACACTACAGAATAGTATGAATATATTGAAACATTTCATATTAGAATCAACCCAGTGACATTATTACATGGATTACAGTGAATCTACTCTAGGTTATTTTTATATTACTCCCAAATGTGTTAAGACTGCAGTTGAAAACTTCTGGACTAAATTATCCTAACAGGCCCCTCCGGCTCTAATATTCTTTCATTCTAAGAACCTTTTACACATTTATCTTAGACAAAGTGTTATTACAAGACCCCAATCGGTCTTCCCTGCATGTTTAAGTGCCCTTTATCTAACTGAAACGTGAAAATGCTAAAGTGTCCCGAATTTTCAATCTATGATGCAAAACCTGAGTTAACACTATCCTCTTGATTATCAATGACAATTTATGTTGCATACATACACTTATAGAAATCACAGATACAGTTACCTCTTACCTCAATAATAACATAAAGACCATTATATTGATATCTTGGAAAAATAACTAAGAAAGATAATAGAAGCCTTTGAACATTTAAAGAGATGAATAACAAGAAACGTGGCTTATATGGTACACAATATAAAAATACTAACCGCAAATCAAACCCTATTAGAGGGCAATCAGAGACCACAATGTGGCCTCTGTGTGGTGGGTAGGACTGGGATTTAGAGTCAGAAGACCTGGGGATGAAGAAAGACCACTCTTTTGGCTGCAGAATCCAAGCAAATCAAATAACCTATCTGAGCCTCAATTGCCTCATTTCTAAAATAAACAGAAGGATAATAAATGTATTATATACAACATGTAAAAGGTGCCTAATACAGGGCCTGAGACAAAACAGGTTCTCAAATACTTGTCTAATAGAAGCAGGTGCATTATTATTGTTTTTATTAAGGTATCTAGTTTGTTCCCCTGAATTTTTGTAACACTGCATGTACAACCATCCTATTTAATTGTGATACTGCATGTTAGAAAGGGGTTTCTTGCTCCTTAAAAGTCTATTTGTTGCCATATTCTTTTCCACTATAAATATGCAAAAATATGTTATCTCAGAAACTCAGGGAGGAAGCATACTTACAAAGCACACCCCCAAAACTCTGTGTTGCTGTCCTCTGAGCTCAGTGCTCTTCTTAGGCACGTAAGTCTGCCTCCTATCATTTCTTCATGAGGTTCAGGGCAAAAGTCCTAGTCAAATGGATGATCTTGGTTGCCCCTACACTTTTCCCAAACCACCTACAGATAAACGAAACAAGGAGTAAAACACACCCACAACCTTAATTTTTTTTAAACAATTAAAGATAAAAATAAGCTCACCCTATGTACAGTTTGTGTACACAGCAGAGAATATATCACATCAAGTCAGAGAACAGAGAAAATGTTCCTTGGATCATGCAAAAGCCCCACTGAAGTCACAGGAATTCTTCACACCCAAGTGCCCAGCCAGCATACTCCTTACTGGTGACTTCCGCCCATACCTGGTCATGCCTTGGGCTGGCTAGAGCATGTCGCAGTGTGAACTGTAGCCCAAGTCTAGCCAAAGGTACTATCCCTAAGCATGTCTCTCAGTGGGTAAACTAAGGCAGGTAACGAAATTAATGTTACTTCTGAATTTAATGGCCCGACTCTATTTCCAAGCCAGTAAATGAACTACATGCTACCACTCCTAAAGGAAATATTTTATAAACTGCCCAGCTCTTCCTACATTTAGTATTGCAATTAAATAAGTAAAAGTAAAATGCCTTTGGTTTTAAGAGCTGTGGACAGAAATATTCTCAGTTCTTTGTGACGCCTTTCAAAGTAGTAAGAATCCACTGAAAATTATCCACAGAACTGCTGGTTGTCCACAGAAAAAATAGATCTGGGAATACATCTATCAACCACTCCAAGAAAAAAGGTATTCTCTTAATCAAAACATACAGTCAAGAGAGAGTTCAAGTTGACCCAGAGGTCATGCAATGGCAGAGAGGACACAGGTATGATGCATGTTTAACTCTTTTAACAAAGCAGCTACTACCTTCATTCTGTGAGTCACAGACACCCCCAAATTTCTGTGCCAACATGAAACTACCAAAATTTTAATCTTCTATCTGTGCTGTCCAATACAATAGTCACTAGCCATATGTGGCTAATGTGCTAAAAATGTAAACTAGATGCAATACTTAGCACCATTTTTTAAAGTTTTTTAGGATGTAAAATATCTCAAGTTTCACACTGACTACAGGTGAAAATGAAACATTTTGGATCTACTGTGCCAAACCAATTACTTAAAGAAATTTCACCAGCTCCTTTTTACTTGTTTAGTGTGTGAGTACTAGAAAATTTCACCTTGCAGTGTGGCTCACACTATGTTTCTATTAGCACAGCTCTGTATAGTTAATAAAAATAAATAACAAATACTGAGCACTCCCAACGGCCCAGGCCCTGTTAGATACTCTACGTAATACTTGGCACAAGGATACAAAGCGGTTTTACAAGATGTCCGCGGCGGTGACTGAGCTTCATCAAACCGACAAAGGATGCAGCTGGAATTCAATGTCAGGTGTTTCTACGAAATAACTCAAATACGGGGCTGTTAAATAGCTGACACTGGGGCAACTCCCATGTTGGCATAGGAAAGACAAGTCACTGATACAGCGTTCCCAAGGGTAGCAAATTTTTGTGACTCTAAAACACGTACAAAACGTCCAACTATATCCCAGGCCAGGCAAGTACACGCCAGAACGAGGGCAAACTCCTTGACAGCTCAAGCTTCACAGCTCCTAGTGGCAGGACAAGCTGCTCTCAAAAAGAGAACAACGAAGTTCAAACTCCCTGCATGACTTGACCAGGACCTGACTGTGGACACCCACGCCGAGGGAGGGGGGTGTCGGGGTGCCAGGCACGCCGTCTCCCCCAACTTTAGCACACACACCACCCATCCACGGCCTTACCCCAGATCTCGGGAGGCTCTGGCGTCCCCACCCCTGGGACGAGGGGAAGCGGGACCTAAAACGTCTACGACAGGATAGGGAAGTGGTAAAGAAAGAGCGAGGGGACGGTGGGGCGCAGGTACCTGAGACAGAAGAGGACCCCAGGTCCTTAATGCCGGATCACTGCCGAGGCCCCACCCGGCTCCCGCGGCCACCAGTGACCCACAAGGTGTAACTGACTGGACGCAGCGACGCAACCGACTCTGCTCTCCCCAGACTCGCGGCTATGGCAACTTGAACTAGCCGCCCAGCCGCGGCAAGTGTACAGTGCCCCGCTGCTACCACTTGGTCCTCTGGGGGTTGTAGTCCGTCTCATGCTCAAAAGCAAGGAGTTACTAGGGCAGTGCGGCCCCAAAAGAAACTGCATTTCCCAGGGTGCCATACGACTGGCCTTGGGGTGACTTTTCCGGAAGAAGCCGAATTAGCTGGCACCTGAGTCCCTCGGCCGCGCCCTCTTGCCCTGGTCTTTATTTTTTAAAGGGCCAGTAACTCCTATAAGCGACAAACACCAGATAATGAGCTGAGAGCTGCTTTAGCCCTGACTCTAGCATAATCAGAAGTGTCTAAAATATTTACTTTGTAAAAAATAACAAAAAAAATCAAAGCAGCTGCAATACTAACACAAACTATGTTTCTTTTACTCCTTGGGGAACAGGGAAGCGTAACTTCCAGCACTGAAATGTAAAAATCCCCTTAATACCAGGACCCAATGTCTTTTTCATTTCTTTTTTTTTAAATTTAATTTTATTTATTTTTATACAGCTGGTTCTTATATACATATTAGTGTATATATGTCAATCCCAGTGTCTTTTTCTAAAGGCTCACAAATTCTTAGAACTGGAAGCGAACAGGGAAGATTATCTAATTAAACCTTTTAGGCCTGGAAAGAGTAAATGACTCGCCTAAAACCACACAGTTCATTAATGGCAAACCCAAGGTATATGAGACTGTCACTTCATGGCTGCTGCTACCTCAGTCGTTCTAGAACATGAGAGAGACATATTCCACTCAGAGAAGCTGGTTTCAGTCATGAAAAGGTAATGATAAAAACCTCGACAAAAAATTGATCTTTGGAAAAGCTACGAAGACGGGAAAGTCAAATTAGTCAGCTGGAGCTTTGTTCCCTTCTGCTCTGCCAAAAAGACCATTGATTCTTTCCTCCTCAAGGCTAAAATCAAATTTCACTTTATCTGTGACAGCTTTCCTGGCTACCTCAAGAAGAGCCAGATCACATTTTTAAACTATGCAGTTTCCTTATTCTAATAATCTGTACCATAATTATCCATTTCCCAGTTGGTCTCTTCCACTAAATTCTAAGCCCCTCCTGTGTTTACAGGATCTTAACCTATTAAAATTGTTATTTCTCTTCTCAGCCTTTCCTCACTTCACACTCTTCCTTCATATTTCTCTCTCTCTCTCTCCCCCTCTCTCTCTCTCTCTCTCTTTCTCTCTTTTTCTCTTTCTCTTTCTGTCTCTCTCTCTCCCCCACTCCCACGGGGGCATGCATGCACACAAAATCATAAATAATATATATTGGAATTATTCAAATATTTTCTCTGGACAACACTGAGGTAAAGTTTATTTTATATTCAGCTTCAATATAAAATAATTCTTCTAAAGATCTACCTATGTACTTGCATCTATCTTCAAGCTATTTGCTCAAAGTTGTGTTCAAGAATGTGCTCCACCTGATACTGAAATTAAGGTGATTCAGAACAGCCTTAAACTTGCTCCATATGCATGTGGAAGCATAATAATTACTCCATTTATTCACATTTTGATTTTTCAAAACAAATGTATCAGCCATTTAATTCAGCAAATGTATGCTGAATCTTTCTATGATCCAGACATTGTATTAGACACTGAAGATGCAGTAAAAATGAGGAGGTAAACAACATAGCCTCTGCCCTCATGTTAGAGTCAAGTGAGGGAAATAGATTATTAAACAAATTATTACAAACCCAGGTGAGAGTACCACATAGGTTTCTATAGATAGACATAAAACAACTTCCTGAGGAATTGATGTCTGATTAACTGCAGGAAGAATGACTACCCAAAAAAAGCTAATGTAATCTTGGGATGAATTAATAAAAGCTGATTTTTCCACAACCTCTCTTCCCTGGTTCAACCACATTTAGAAAATTGGATTAAATTCTGGGGACCCCATTTTTAAAGTGATATTAACAATAAAAAAGCAAAATCAGAGTATACAACTGGGACTGATGGATAGAGAATCAGATTTGAGTTCACTATGATGAAGAAATTTTAAAATACATTATTAAATTTATAGCAGCTTTCTGTCATATGGTGTGCTCTCAATACACAGATATGATATCCAGAAAAAATACAGTGAAGTCAGATCATAGACTCTTTCTCCTTCTTAATAAAAGAGATAAAATAATAAAGCCAATTAAAAAAAAAGATTTTACACAAAATGTGCCTGTAACTACCAAATGACCTTAATTGCTTTTAACTGATATGGTGGGCACACATTATCCAACCCCAAAACCATAGTCAAGATGAATCACCTGAAGTTAGAGGTGGAAAAACCCACAAGGATTACCACCTGCAGTGCATAGTCTTTTTTCACAAACAATGTTAATAGAGGCACAGAGAGGTCACATGATGTATTTGGTTTGCTAGGACTGTCATAATAAAATACCACTGAATGGGTGGCTTAGACAACAGAAATTGATTTCTCACAATTCTGGAACCTGCAAATCCAAGATCAAGACGTCAGCAGGTTCAGGTCCTCCTGAGGCCTCTTTCCTTGGCCTGAGATGGTTTTCCTCTCTGTGTGTCCTCATGTGGCCTTTTCCCTGTTTGGGCAGTTGCCTGGAGTCTCTCTTCTTATAAAGACACCATCACGTTGGATTAGGGCCCCACCCTTATGACCTCATTAAACCTTAATTACCTCCTTAAAGGCTCTATCTTCAAATATTGTAACATTGAGGGTTAGAGCTTCAACATATGGGATGGGGGAGCACAGTTCAGTGCATAACACATGACTTCCCCAAAATTGTACCTATTCAGGATTAGTGTCATCAGTGATCCTCCCACCACACAATACCTTGATAAAATTAGATGTGCTGGATATTTTTTACATACCTCACCCACACTTCACCTTTACTGGGAATGCTCCTACCCATAGCATTGGGCTCCTGAAGCTTTGTTTATATTATACAAAGCCCCTATCTCTCTGACCGTGGGTGGCTGGACAAGGGACAGATACTTGAAATAATTTGGGCCAATTATGCTCTTTATCCTTTAAAACTGGGACTCGAGCATTTAATTCATTACGTGAATAGTCTTGATGTATAGGTACAAGCTGAAGTTGTCGTAGGGAGGTGACCATTTTCAACTGTGTTCAAGAAGAAACAAAAATCTAATCCACAGAGAAAGAGAGAGAGAAACAAATGGGTAAAGCAGCAGGAGTAAACTGTGCAGCCCCAGAGGAAATAAGCCTAAGAGAAGAGGGCCTTGCTTCCGGACAACTTCCAAGTTCCTGGCTCCAATCCCACTTGTATTATTAAAAGTGTTATTCCCACTTGTATATCCTGTACTTGTGACCCAGGATACACTAGAGGCAGCTGGAGGTGGTTAAATGAACAGATTTTGGAGCCAGACCACTCGGGTTCAAATCTTAGCTATAATACCTATCAACTGTGTGACCTCAAGCACATACTTAATCACTCTGTGCTTTCAATTCTTCCTCTGCAAAATGTGGATGCTAAGGATAGTACATAATGTGTAGGGTTGTTTTGAGGATAAAATTAATTAATGTGTGTGAAGGATTTAGCCCAGTGCCTAGCCCATAGTAAGCAGTCAATACAGTTTAACTGATATACACTATGATATCCTAAAATGTTAGTTCCATGAACATTGGGACCTTGTTTATTGCTTTGTTTTAGGTACTTAGAATGAAGAATAGACCATGTTGCCTTGTGATGATTTCCCTTTTGAAGCTTAAGATAAGTTCTACTGACTAAAATTCAAAGAGCTTTGACTAAGATTACACTGGTGACGCCTAACTGTCCAGCCTGTGAGATTTGAGGTATTAATGTCACATGTAGCTTTTCTGAGCAATTTCATCAAAAACCCTTTTGAACCACACCAAATATTAAACATCTAGATAGGCTAATCAATAAAGAGGTTGTGGGATGAGGCTAGCCTGAAAGCATTGACATGAACCTCACAACCCAACTCTGCTATTGTGTGGCAGACAGAGGCAGTGGTATTTCAAGTAGAAAGGGCAGAAGTTTGTTCTACCTATATCTTGCAAACTCATGCTACTGTGAAATAACAGCAGAAAACTGATTATTTCTATGTGACAAGAAAATATATTTGAAATACTAACCAAATTTTCCCCAAGTATTTTCTTGTCCGCTTGGTTCCCTCAACCACCCACCTCCATTTCAGCCAGCTAAGCTGTGCTGTGCTTATGGCTCAGAGAAGGGATGTGACCACAGGAATCAGAAAGGGAGAGGAGGCAAAAGAGAATAAAAAGAAGAGAAAGAGTAGCCTCTTCCTGACTCTTA